TTAGTGGTGGGATGGCAGGGTTAGGGTAACGGTTGGGCTTGGTGATCTTAAAGGGCTTTCCCAACCCAAACGATTCTGTGATTCTGTGACTGATAAGCAAAGAATATTTATCAATATGGCGATAGGCTCTTTTTACATATAAATATAAATATATATATTTATGTCTCACTTAATAGCCTTTGTTAATATAGATTTGATATACAGGTAATTCTAACAGCAATACACATCAGTACGAGCACAGGTTTTTGCTTCAGGCCAAGTATTTAGGTTACAGTTTTTCTGTTCCTGCTGTTACAGGGCAGGCTCTAACAAATGGTTATTACCAAAAACTGCCTGCATAAAGTGCAGCTCTATTTTACACAGAGCGATAAACAGAGTAGATCCATGTGACTTGCTCCAGCCACAGGCAAACGCGTGGCTTGCACTTCCAGAAGCTGCTGGTGTCTCTCTTCATAACCCCTGTCAGGAATAGATTTCCTTCATTGCTGCACTCATTAAAAATCAGCACCTGAGGGTTCAGGGAGCCTCAAGGTACAAAGCCTGAGTGGGTACAATGAAGCAAACAGCACTAATTCCTGGGGGGAAGTCAGCGGGGTTTGGAGCGCTGCCAGGTCATACAATGTGTTTTGGACGGCTGTGACTCCAGGGGTTAGTTTGCGGTGGGAAAACAAAATTAACACAAATATCCTAATAATTACTTTCCTTGTCTGTGAGATCAGATCAACAAGGCCCGTGGGGAAGAAGAACGCCTTAACGAGCCTTCACACAGGTGATGACCCCTGTGCTGCTTCTTGCTGGTACGAATTTGAACTTCGGGGAGTACATTCTGTCTGTCCTGGCTCCTTTTTGGTTTTGAGAGGAAAAACAGGACATAGAAGTGTGCATTTATTTTCAGTTTAAGCAAAATAAACACACTCAGAGACACTTTCATGCTTTTTCTCAGAATCCACCTTCGTGGAAAATGTCGTGCACAGGTAAGATGTACAGGCTCAAACTCAACGGCAGTCGTAACCCAAGCTCTTGCTGGCTTCAATATTTTTTCACTGATACGTCACAGGAATGGACTTTGCTCATCTTCTTGGGGATAATTTAAAAATTATCACTTGAAACCTCGAGTTTGTTTGTGAACCTGTCAGCATTCTCCTCTTTATCTGTTCTAAAGCAGGCCATCGCGCTACCGCTGATAACATTATGAACCCACATAGATCCTGTCCGTGGCATTGCACTCAATATCCTGTCAGCCTCACATATTGTGCGCTGTGACTTCCCCATCTCCAGCTCCCTCTGTGCATGCTACCTCAGCCCTGAGGCTGGAAGCCCTGGTGATGAGGGCTGGAAGTGCAGAAACCCAAGTGCAGTTCTGCACATTGAGTACAAGGTGTGGCTGAGCGCGGCCGCTGTGATTTCTTCCGCCTCTCTGAGACACGAATTCCCCCCAACACGGTGAATTCCGCTACTTGTTGATAATGCTGGGAGATGTGCTTCTGCAGAAAGCTTTTTCTGTCTAAAATCAGCGGCACTCTGATTTTCACAGTGGATCTGCTTTCCAAGAGCTCTAAGTCTTAAGCAGAGAGGAAAATCCCCCTGCTTACTCGCATTTTTATTGCACCATACAATCCCTCTACTTAATGCCTCATAGCACCTTTGCTTTGAAACTGGGTACTGATTTTTGGAACTGTTTTCACATTCGGATCTCAAGTAAAAGAGTGAAAAAAAAAAAAGTATTATTTGTTAGAGCAAGTCTCAATCTGAATGGTTCCCCAGCATCTGTATGTCCCATATTTTGGGGTGCTCGTGACAAGGACACCTCACGTGAATCCAGCTCAGTTCCAAATCCTGTGGGAATGCCAACAGCCTTCTGTTCTGAAATGTCCATCTTCCAGGGGACAGGGGTGAGGGAACCTGAAATTTGTCCTTCTCCAGATTGTCTCTGCTGGACCCCCCAGGCCTCGGTGCCCACAGGGGCTCCTACCTGTCTGTCAGGTGCTGCGCTCCCCGGCTTTGCGGTTGGGCTCTTCCTCCAGCAATGGCCACCAGCTCCCAACAGCCTTGGCTGTTACCTTACCCCTCGCTGCGGCACCATCTCATCCCCTCAAACCTTCTGTCAGACACTTTTCATGGGCTGTCATGGAGACCCCTGCCCTGCTGGGAGCCTGAAAGTGTCACGCATGTACGTTTTTCTATCTATTCATTTATCTTTAACAAGCCACTCGCTTTCTGTCTCTCTTTTCCCGGTTCCTCCCATCATTCTTTATTATTTATTTCCCGTTCCTTTATGTGTGCAATTCCAATCCTGTGCCTCTTAAAAACATCTCCACCAGCCCAAAAGCTGGTATTTGAGCTTAAACGGGGATGGCAACAGCTCAGCAGGCCTGAGGCTGCTCTGCAGCGTGCTCTCGCACATTCGTAGCAGGGCCCAGGGTTGTCCATCCTCCCAGTGCAATGCAGCATCCGTCTTTGTAACACAGGGATTTGTATGTTTTTACCATTTGTTTTGTTTTCTTATTCCTGTAATCAGCACAAACAATTTAAATGGGGAAATAGACTTACCATTATTTGTTTTCCATTAAAATGCTAAGAAATTAAGCTGGAGGAGAAAGTGTGACATACGCCAGATTACCACGGGCACCAAATCCCAAACCAAACACGAATTTCTAAGGCCATGTCTGCTTAACTGTAAGCGTGCTGATTAGCTCTGAGCAGTGCTGGAGGAGATGGTTTGCATGCGAGTGTACACAGCAACATTTTATCTTGTATTGAAGACATCAACTGTTGTTCTCAGTGTGTTTGTTTTTCCAAGCTCCTGGTGAAAAGCATGGATGTTGATGCCACTTGGCCTGTCGCACTGTATTTATTCATTTCTATTACAGAGGGAACAAAAATGTTCCCTCTCCAAATCAGCTTAGCATTTTCCGACTCTGATAGGATGAACATAGCTGCATGATGCTGTGTTTTTCTATACTGTGGCACTGCACTACACTTAATAGCAGTGCAAGAAAATGGATCCTGAGCTATGGCCCCATGCTGAGTCCACCACCTTCCCAGCATCTGGCTATGTCTCTTGGGGGAAAAAGCGTAGGGTCACTGACAAAAGGAAAGCACATTGGGTGTTTGCAGAATGTGAGCAGTCACTTGTGATCTGCCATGAGCTGTCACCACCTGAGCACAGCAGAGCTCGGCGCCGTCGGGAGCCCAGGAGAGTCCGCACAGGAGCAAAACGGAGTTTGCACGAGCATGCGGCTTACCCCTGGCAGAACTTGCTCTCCAGGCCCCGGTGTGCAGCATTCCTCATGCCAAACCTGTCACTGCTTCTCGCTGCTGGGAAAAGCAGCCTTTCGTTCCCACCTTTAATCACTTTTTTTATTTGCGTAGTGTCCTCTTCTGTTGTGCCGTAGCTGTTCAAGGTCACTTGAGAGGAGATTTTGCTGAAAGCCCTTGTATGAAAACCCATGTAGAAAAATCTCAGCTTGATTTCCCCTGTCTTCTGGCCTGTTTACTCCTTCAAACATCTTCAGAGGGTTTTTGAGATATAACTTACTTCCACTCATAAAACCCACGTTGACTTTTCACCAGAATATTAAAGGTATTAATGTGTCTACTAACCTTGTTTCCTAAGACATCTTCTGCTGTTGTGGCTGGTACAGATTTCAGGCTTGCCAGCCAGCAGCTTCTGAGGTCTCATCTGAAAGGAATCCTTTCCAAAAGCTGCTGTCGCATTTCCTCTATTTCAGACCTTGGGTAAGC